TATTAAATAGTTTTGAAATCTATTTATAGTTATTAAATAATATTATTAAACAATTCTTTTATTAGTTTTTGATAATACGTGGTAGTAGTAATTGATTGGTTGAATAATTGGTTAAGTATAATAGGTTTAAGTGTAGTGGTTATTGATTTGCAAAGTTAGAGCTGTGTTGTTGTTTTTGGATTGATGATTGATAAAATGTGCTTATTGTTTTGATGTTTATTAATAGAATAAGATCATGTGATTGAACGGATTTCTATTTTTAGTATTGTTTATGTTGATCTTTGGCAGATATAATGGACGTGTTTGAATATTTGGTATTGTATGATTGGTTGAAGTTAAGATATTGATCAGTTACCAGGGGCAAACTGATTGCAGTTTTTTGGAAAAAAAGTTTTTGAACAAGAATTTTTGATTTTTGTGGCGCAGTAAAATGTATTGAACGATAATAGAAGTTGTTTTTTGTATATACCAATTGTTCCCCAGACCAGTGATATAAACAAAGTTGATGTGAAAGTTTGTGTTTTGGAATGAAATAAAGTTCTCCAAGTCAAGAATATGAATATTTAAGTGTTTGTGTGTTAATAAGAAATGTATTAATAAGAAATATAAATGGGAAAAACTCCAAGAAAAACTTGTAAAGAAGCAACTGCCGCGAGCCTTTCCTTATGCAATTCAAAAGAGAAGCAAGTTCCCCAAGCTTGATTACTCCTAACCAGAGGTCCCATTTTGATACACCAGTGTGCTTCTTTAGTTTCTTGAGATTTTTGGTATTAAAAGTTAAAGAGATATAGAGGACTTTGTAGGTATTGGAGAGCAAAAAGAATATTTTCTCTAATTTTGAAAATTACTATAAAAGGAAATTTTTAAGAAAAATGTTATGTATAGAAAAGAATTTTTTTTTTTTTTAGAAATGATATTTACCTATAAAAAAAAAAATAATAATAATATATAAAGATTATATGTTTTATTTGTAATATATTTAAATATTTCTTATTATTAAAAAGTTTTTTTAAAAAATCATTTATAAATTTTTTACAATTTGAATTCTTTAAGTTTATTTAATTCAAAAGTTTTTTAAAATATTTTTTTATTAATATAATAATAAATAAATAATAATATTTTTTTTAAATTAAAATAATTATTAATTGAATTTTTATTTATAAAAGATTACTAGTTGGCAATATTACAAATATTGTAATTAATATACTATATATCTTTCTTTACTAAGAAGAGTTTAATACAAGACTCAAAAAAATGATTTATTTATTTTGGTTTTTTAACTAATTACTTAAGCAGTAGCAAAAAGGTTATCAAAATCTGTACAATATTGAGCAGTATCTAGTAAAGAACTAGGAATATTTGTGATATCCAATTATATAAAGGTAAGTAATAATTATTTTTTAAAAGAACCATAATTTATTTATAAATTTTTTATATATTAAATAGTTTTGAAATCTATTTATAGTTATTAAATAATATTATTAAACAATTCTTTTATTAGTTTTTGATAATAAAGTCTAAATATGACAGGTCAAGTCTCTATAAATTAAGTTTAATAATAATCTTAACCAATATTTTAATTAATTTTAGTATTTATTGTAAATATGAAACCCTTTTTTTTTTTACAACATAATCAAATTATATAAATATGTTTCAATAAAACGACAGTGTGTAAATCAGGTTCTGCTAGTATTAATATATTCTCTATATATAACTGTTTATAATGATTTAATATTATTAAAAATAAATGACTTTGTAAAATACAATATACAATTTTTTAATCACTAGATTGTACTATCAAAAGATACTAATTTTTTAAAGCACTTAAACAATTCATTTATTAATATGAACATAATCAAATACATGATTTTCTTATACAATCTTTTCCCAAGCTTTGTAATAAAAAATAAAAAGTATATGGTTTATTCATTTAATTAAAAATTTTATCTAAATGGGCGAGACAAGAATTAACTTCAAAAAAAATAAATTGAAATACTGTAAAATTTACAATGATTGTTTCAGCATAACAAGATAGAATTAATATATGCTGCATTTTGTATAAATATTCATAAGAATAAAATAACAAATCGATCAAGTATTGACAAACAGCAAACAATGAAGTTATCGGGAAACACTCATAAGTTACAATTACCGTCAACAATTTTCGGTAAAATTATTTATGACATCTAAGAATAACGTTGAGACAGTGATAAGAGAATATCAAAGATACCTAAAAAGATTAAAATAATTACAGGTGGATTTATTGGTGCTTTGTAGGACTTCAAAAGTCCAACTTAAAGTATTAGTGCTTAAAAGAGAAAATGTCAAGTCTTGAAAATTTAATTACTACACTATGCTCGTGGGTTACTTGAAATAAATTCCATAGCTTCTAGCGGGAAAACGCAAAAACTTGATGAAATTTGTTCATTACGGATCAGAAATATACCCTCACTGCCTGGTTTATCATTGACTCATTCGGACAATAAGGGCATTTGAAACGTCTATAGGCATATTCGATATTAATAATTTTTCGGAGATATAAAACCCAAAGTTCTAATAATGCTTACCCGTTTCCTTTACTACTCAGCTTGTTTAGGCTCTCTTTACATATTACATGACCACAGGGCATCATCATGGGTGGATTATCTTCAGTTGATTGTTCCTTTGATACGGGACACGCGAAAATAGAGTGATATCGCATTTCGTCAGAGAGAGGAACTTCTACCTGTAAAATTAATTGCAAACATTTGAAAATAAAACATAAAAATCACAATCCATGAATAGAAGGTTTACCGGCAATTCATCTTGTTGACTCCATTCGTTCTTCTTTTCTTTCATAATTGTTGCCATTTTTATGATTGTAGGCAGAGCGGTGGCGCCAACGGTTACACTATAAAAATTGACAAAGGAATTTGTACGTGTTTATCGCGCAATCACCCAAAAAGGAACGTTCAAGATACCTTATATATAAAGGGCTATCGCATGACATTCCCAATAGGTTGCAGAAATCGCGTGTGAATGCGAGTTGTATATCCGTCCACACGTGCTCGGATAGAAGATCAACATAAGGCGACGACGACAATTTATAAATATAAACGAGTGCCCCCATCAAACGATGTATTTCTAATATAAAAAGGTTGACAATTTAGTGTGATATATTCTATAATCTCGATAATTTAAATTGAAATCTGAGCAGTAAGTACCGTTTAAGTGTCTCGCTCTAAAGTAACTAAAATTCGATTTGGCATACATTAAAGCTTCATCACGGCGTTGTTCGACAAGATACTTGATATAGTGAAGGCGGTGAAGTTGAAATTCCAAGGAGCTTCCCCGACGTTCTAATGCGTCACGTTGTGACCTCGCCCATCTGAAAGTTAGCACCCCCCGGGGTAAGAATGCATAGACAATAGATTTGGTGGATGTATCAATACACAACCAAAGATCAACTGTCCTTGAAAATCCTCGAGAAAAAAAAATAGCTCAATAAAAAATGGATGATTTACGATAGAGCTGGCTCCAAATTTTGATTATTTATGGCGTCTAATATTTGATACATTTGAACAAATTGCATTTGTAGAGAATTGGGAAGGTCCAATCCGGTTTCCTGTGATGACATAAATTTATAAAAATCGGGCGCAAACAGATTTATTGAGATATAAAATAAAGTCTTACTTGTATAAAGGTATTTCCTAACATAAACTTTCCGTGACGTATAAAATGTAAAGCGACTGTCCTTTGGAGAACAGCGTCCTTATTGACAAAAGCTTCCGGATTGCTGGCAATAGTTATGTCTTGTTTCCATTTCTAATAATCCAAAATTTTAAATTCAACATAAAAATAAAGAGTGGACAAATTTCTTACATCCACAGTCAGAAACACGATTCATTACCCTATCCACTATTTTTTCATATTTTGATACTACTTTTTGGAATTCTTTATGTTCTTCTGAAGCTTGTGACGCAAAATTTTCGAGAGATCGTGAAAGATTCTGCAAATTCTCATTTACATTCTCAGGATCTGTCGAAGATCTTGTCAGTGATCTAATTATTACTCAAGTCTTATTATGAGGAACAAATGCTTTACCTGATCTTAGCTGATGCAAGGTTTCGTACAGAGTCTGGGTCAACTTATCAATTTTTTCCACGGCTTTCGGAACAAGTTCAAGTTGTTTATTTTCAACTTTTTTGTAGTCGGTTTGAAAACTACTCAAAATTCCTTCCATCGTAGGTTAGATTAAAGTTCACTAAAGTTTCAACCCGCGAAAATGTGGTTAAATTCCCCATACTTTTTTGCGTACAGAAAATTCTAGATCATGAAAATTGATCAACAATCGAATCACGATAACCGAAAAGAATTAGAATTTTAGAAAATATTATATTATTGTCCGTTAAAACAAGATGCTTTGTGCAAGTAAGTACTCTTTCTATCTTAGAATATTACGAGATTCGTCGTTTCAATGGACTTATTCAGAAACTGGTATTACAAGTTTCCGGAGAGCCACCACAGGAGCCAGTAATTTCAAAGAAATCCGGTCACATTTATGAAAAGAGATTGATCGAAAAATATATTGCTGATTATGGAAAGGACCCCGTTAGCGGAGAAGAAATTAACGAAGGTGACTTGTTGGAAGTAAAAGCAAGTAGGTAACTATTTATGTCTTTGGGGAAAGTGTAATGGTGCTTGAGCGAATGATGATTTAGTTTAATTTCGAGAAATCAACTAGAAGCTGTTGCTGAACAAGATTAGATGAGAACATGAATCTGAGTTTTCAGTGGAGCTTATGTGTTAAATAATGGTGATGATTGTGTCTTTCTAAATTGTACGTTTCATTATATAATAAGGTCCAAAAACGGTTAAGCCTCGACCACCAACTTTGACATCGATCCCATCATTACTGGCTGTCTTTCAAAACGAATGGGATAGTTTGATGCTGGAAACATACACTTTAAAACAACAATATCAGCAAGTTCGACAGGAATTAAGTCATGCCTTATATCAACATGATGCGGCATGTCGAGTAATTGCTAGATTGTTGAAAGAGAGGGACGCCGCGAGAGAGTAAGTTTAGATATCTCCAATGACTGTTTAAAAATATGAGTAACTAAATAATTATTTTATTCTTAGAGCATTAGCGAATGTTCAGGCTCATATTAATATCCAACCTCCTCCAGATACAGCTACGACAGATCATCCAATGGAAACGGAAGAGGAAGCGAAAGGAATTAATGATGCAGTCATAGAGAAATTAAATGAAACTAGTAAAGTGTACGCAATATATGTTTTGATTAATCGTATTTTTATCCATATAACCCTATAAACGAACTTTGCCGCTTTTCTTTATTATTTAGCCTGTCAAAGGAGCGTAAGAAGAGAAAGGCACAACCTGGTCTCACCCCAGTTGATACAGTGAAACGTTATACTCAATTAAATGTTATCGGTTCTTTACACTCCACCTCGTCTCCCGGAATAGCATGTCTCGATCTTGACCAAACAGAGGAACTCGTGCTCACCGGCGGCAATGATAAAAAAGTATTAATATATAACCGACAAGAAGCTAAAGAAGTATGTGTCTTAAAGGGCCATACCAAGAAGATTACTGACGTTTCATGGCTAGGAAGACCCGAAGGCGATCAGGGTGATGTGGCGTTTTCTTCAAGTGTAGACAAAACCGTTAAAGTCTGGAAACCTAACGAAAAAGGTAGGTGTTTTTTTGTCTATATATTTTGTTCCCGTACCGTTGGAGCACTTGTTGCTGAAACCACGGAATTTTTAGGATATCAAATCGCAAGCACCATCACGTCACATTCGAGCGAAGTCACTGGTATTGCAGTTCATGCCACAAAAGATTATTTAGTATCGGTTTCAAATGATTCTACATGGGCATTCCATGATATAGCAACCTCACAGACCTTAGCTAAGATCGAGAGTAAAGATGTGAAAGACGGTGTGAGAGGATTTTTTTTTCTTTATTTTTATCATTCTTTTTATTAATAATTCATTAGGAAGATAATATTCAATGAACCCATTAAATTAGGTTACTCTACTGTCGAGTTTCATCCTGACGGTTTAATTTTGGGAACAGGAACAAACGATTCGGTTGTTCGAATTTGGGATGTGAAATCCCAACAGAACGTCGCTTCTTTTCCCAATCACACTGGTCGCGTTACATCAATTTCATTTTCCGAAAATGGCTACTATCTAGCAACTGCTTCGGAAGATAATTTGGTTAAATTATGGGATCTCCGAAAATTATCGAATTTCCAAACTTTAACTGTAGATACTGACGCAAAAGTCAACAAGGTGGTATGGGATTACAGTGGTCACTATTTAGCTATAGGTGGCACTGATGTTAGGTATGGATGAATACTATATTATTTTTAATTTACACATTTCATATTAGATATGACTAATTCTTGCTTAATTATTTCCTATTATTATTAGAATTTATCATTCCAAGACTTGGAATGAACTTTCAGTTATTTCTGAAAACATGGCGGAAATCACAGATATGAAATTCGGAGAATTGGCAAAATATTTGCTTGTAGGTGGATTAGATCGTTCTTTAAGAACTTATGGAATTGAACAACTTGAATAGATGATCCTATTTACAATTTGTCATAGCCTTGTTTTTTCTTAAGAGACAAATTGATAATAAAATGATTTCAAATTTAATTTTTGTTTCACGATCACATGGCACATGATGGCATTGTTGCTTATTGTGGAAATGAACTCTTTCAAGGAATTTATGGAAGTAGAATTACTCTGAGTTTATACCGAGTGAAAATCAGTTTGAAATTGGTAACGAATGTCTTCGGATAAACACCCAAAGTTAGAATATGATATAATCACCTTCGAATCACTGAGTCCGTTGAAACCCATATTGCGTACCGATAACCACGATTCTGATGGATGCAAAGCAAAATAAAAAAACGCCATTCGTTTGCGTCGGATTAATTTCAATGCAGGGTTCATTACTGAGAATAATCAAAATGGAAAGATATTAAATGATTGGCATATTTGTGATCATAACATAGGTACATGAAACCTGTTATTTAAGTACGGACTACTTAGGCGCAATTCACTATATCGGGACGTGTAGTAAATACTTCTTTTCAAGCTGATGGTAGTCATAAAACAACTTTTATGATTACTATTTTAAAATAAACAAATATCATATTTACAGTATCATGTAGATTTTCTTATACAAGTGTAAATCAAGCAATTCATACAATTCAAGTAGTTTATAGATAAATAAAATCTAATTGACTTTTAGACAATGTATAAAAGAAATAATTCAAATAATTCAAATGATTTCTAATAGATCATTGTTATACAAATAATAATTATTTATTAATATTATAATTTTTTTATACTATTGTTTTAATAAAAATTATATTTTGCTCTATAAATTGTCTAATTGTAATAAAGATTTTATGATAATTTTCTATTTTCTATTTAAAATATTAGTAAAAATTATATACAGTATATATTATTTCCATTAATATCTTGATTGATTTTAATTAAGTTTGTATTAAACATTATATTGTAAATAATAAAATTATAAATAAATTTCAAAAATTTCAAAAATTTTTATTTAAATTTTTTTTAATAATAGATTTTTATATATAGATATTTTTTTTTTGATTTTTTATAATTTAATTTTCAATTGTTTTTTAAATAATAAGTTACATTTTTATAATTAAAACTTAATAATATTTTAATTAATATTTTTATAATATTTTTATTTTTGTTCTTTTGTTTTTTTTATTAAATTTATATAATATTAAGTATACATTGTAAAAGAAACAATATCTTTTATATATAACAATACAATAAGTTAAATGTTAGCTTGCTTATAGTAACTACCTAACTAATATTGAAAAGAAATTTTAAAACAATATATCTTATTAAGTAGCTCCAAGCAGTTATAATTATCTACTTATCATTAAATAAAGAAAATTAAAATAATTAGATATTAATTTAATAATGTATTTGGAAAAGTCATATTCATTTTAGATATAAAATTTTGTTATTATAGTTGATAAGTTAATAATAATTAAGATTTGTATAGTAATAGAGAAGAAATTGCAATATTATATATAAGCCTCTTTCCACTAATCCTTTTGCTAATCCAAAAAACAGATGTTCTCAAAAGATTTTTATCTTTATGATAATAAAGTCTATATACTTTCCTTAAAACAACACTGGTTTTTAACCAGCCAAGTGAGCAGAAGCTACCACTTGTTTTATTTTTTTTTTTCAAAATACTTTTCTTGTTTATTTTTGCGACTAAATATAAGAAACCTACCTAAGAGATCTATGGCAAGAACACCTTTACAGAAAGAAAACTAACAAGAAAAAATATCCTCCAAAGACTCCCAAAAGACTCAAGAATCTAGAGAAACAAGAACAAAGAAGTCTCCAGTCTTTCCATTATTTTTTTGGCTTCCTACTTCTTCTTTCTCAAGTGTGCTTTCTTTTTTTATATTTTTCTGGAAAATTTTGCCTATCTCAGTTTGACCTTGAATTTTTTGGTTATATCGGATTTCCTGAAAGATGATTGGTTAAGGTCACAGATTAGTTGATTATGTCAGTCACAAAAAATATAAACAAGATACGTACTCCTCACATGTTTCCAGTCACACAATACTAAACTGATAATGTGATTAGTTTCTGAAAGAGTTGATATATTTAAAAATATAAAAAACAAGTTTACTTAATAAAGTTTTTAAAATATATTATTAAAATTTTCTTAAAATTAAATTTTTTTAAAAAATTTTTTTTTTTTTTTTTTTTTTCCGGTAGGTAAACATCATTTCTTTATTTAATTTGTATATTTAAAAGTATACATCGTGAAAGAAACAACATCTCTTACATGCAATAGCAGCAAGTTTAATGCTAGCTTGCCTACACTATCTATACCTAGCTAATATCGAAAAAAAATTTTAAAACAATATTGTATGCTAAATATAGCTGAGGGTAGCGGCTATGCTTACTTACTCAGAAAATTTTGATAAGATATAATGAATAGAAAGTAAAACAAAAATGAGATGAGAAAAAAAATGTGCTAAACAAGTATGAATGTAATAAAAACTAATTATAAAATAAAGGAGGTCCATTGGACACGCCACTCTGGTAGTTCCACTCCTACGAAATATATGTTGATATACTTTCCGAATGGCCAGGCTACTCTCCAAAATATATAATAGTATTGACGACATAGATTCTTGATAGCTGGTGGTATATGGTGGTAGTAGTTGATTGGTGGTAATATTAGTAGTGGTTTTGTTATTGTTTACGTGGTAGTTGATTGGATAATGTATAGGTTGATTGGTATGAGCCACTCCCAGGCTACTGTTGATATGAGCCACTCCCAGGCTGTTGTTTAAAAAGAGCAAAAATGTTGAAACGGTTTTTGGATAATTGTTTGGATTTGTTAATTGTTGTTTTATGGTAGTGATATATTGTTGTTGATTTTTGATTGATATTTGGTAGGACGTGATTGTTGTTTTGATGTTTATTAATAGTAAAAGGTCATGTGGTTGTACGGATTTCCATTTTTGAAGTTGTTTATGTTGATCTTTGATAAA